GAGGGACGGGGCTGTGGGCACGGCCACCCCCCGAGCCAGCCGGGGTGAGGGCACAGCCAGGCCCCGAACCGACCGGGCCTAATGTCTCTGGGTCGGTTTATCTGTCATCCCAGGACGTCCAGGCGCTTCTGCTCTGGTGTAACTAGATGCCTCAGCTTGGGACCTAGCGACATGCAAAGTCTCTGCGCTCCCGTGCTGCTTGGGCTATTCGTCCATTCCCTGGCGATACCTAAATTCCTCCAAACTTGTACCATGCAATGTGTTGAGATTTAATGTGGTGACATGAGAACACCTGCATGTTCCCATACCATGCAGTGCATTCATCTTTGGTTTAGCAACCGGGAAGCTAGGAATTGCTTTTTTTTTTTCTGTCACACTCACACACGTACAGAGTAACATCTCCTAATGCTTTTTCATGAGATTCTGTGTACTCTATGCCACCCACCATCTCTCTCTCCAGCGTGTCGCTCTGATGTACCTGTGAACCACAGCTGACTGGGTTTGTCCTCCTGGATGTGAGCAGTAGCTCTGGGTGCCAGGGTCTCGTACAGTTATTCCCTCATCCTGAGAATTCCTCTTCCCTTTTGAGAGACAACCTAGAGCATGAAATGTTCTGTCCCGCTGGTGGGAGCAGGGATGCTGCTCAGTTTTGTGCTGAGTTGTCCTCACCAAGGCCTGCAGTGGCCCTGCTACATGGAGCTTTGCTGAGCTCCTAATTGCCACCTTGTAACCCTCGCCTCCTCACTGTGTGCGCTGACAGTGGAGGAAACCACTTGCAGGCAGCATGAGTTCGTAAGCCAGGGCTCGATCACCACTTTTTAGTGTTTTCGCTGTATTTGTTTCCTCAGTACAAGTACTGAGCCACACAGCTACAGCTGTTCTTGTGGTGGCTTCCAGGGGCTTTGGAAGGTGTACACAAAAGTAATTTGTATTCACTTCCTTTTGGATGTGTCTTTTATTCCCAAGAGTAATGTATATTGGAGACAGTCGAGAAGCAGCAGTTTGAATTGAGTTGCAGAAGTAAATCCTTCCCCATGTACGTAGATTTACACCTGCCTGGTTCTACCTCGCTGGTACAGTCACATGTGTTAACAGATTCCTATGAAACCCTTGGGCCAGGGGGAGACTATCCCCACATGCAGAAACAGAGGCAGGTACGTAACGACTTTGCCAGGAACATGCAGGAATCCAGAATGTGAGCCTGGATCCCAACCGGCAAAGTCCTGTACTTTGACTTAGAGCCGTTGGTTCTGCTCATCCTCGGTTTGTATATTCCCAAGGTCTGGATTTTACGCATTTGGATATTGGTAGGTACCAGTTGAAGAGTTCCGTTTGGGGAACAGAAATTGTACCCAAAACATAAAACATGAAAACATGGTTGGTTGACAATCTGTCATCTCGTTCTTCCAAAAGAAGAGTCACAGTTTTCATCCAGCTTTCCACGTGCTTAGGTTGAACCATCCCAATGTAGTAAGAGCCTGTGAAGTTCCCGAGGAGATGAACTTTCTGGTTAACGACGTTCCTCTTCTGGCTATGGAATATTGTTCAGGGGGTGACCTCCGGAAGGTAATGTCTGCTTTGCTTTGCAATACGTAGCAAAATAAGTGGAGTTAATGCTGTTTCTGTAACTGTGGTTGTCTGTGAAACCATGTATGCTTTACGGCACTCTTCTTTTTAGGTACGGGTGTGGGGAAATAAATGTAAAGTGAAGGAAAAAAAAATACGCACGGGAAATGAGGCTTGTGTTTCTGAAACCAGAGGACAGAGAGCAATCCAAGGGCAGATACTCTTTTCTCCTGAAGCAATGTGTCCTTTCATGGAACTGCTTTAGCATTAATACAACTTCCCAAGCCTACTCGCACCCAGCGCGTTTGGCTTTGCTGCAGGGTGTCTCTATCTGTTTGGAGCCTGACCTGGTTTTGATTTGCATGTAGCCAGCGTTGTGTTGCTCTCAGCATGGGGAAGGATCATTTTCCTACTGGACTGGGGCCTCCAGGGCTTCAGAGACTTTCTTGAACGGGGAACTGGCCTTCTGTAAAATAGCAACACCTGGGAGTAAAGGAACCTTTCGGTAGTTCCCAGGCAGTGGCTGCATGACCCGATAGAGTTTATGCTCCCTTTCCACTGCAGCTGGAAGCAGCTTTTTGTGTAGAGGTGAAGAAGCAAATCCCTGTTGATTAAGGTTTGCCTCGAACTTGCCTCATCTAAGTGATCGGAAAGCTCGTTTTTCTGTTGTTTTTGTTACTGATGTTAAATAGCATTGGAGGAACACGAGTGGATGTTGAATGGAGTAACTGCCTCTCAATGATAGCAGCTAGTGTGTCGGTAACTTCCTGAGCCTCGTGTTATGTTTTTGAGCTGTTTAAAACAGGAGCGACAATTTTAAGGTTGGCAATGAAAGGCAGCGGGTATATATGAAAATATATAAAAATATGAAAATAACATTTGGATGTTGCAAACACGTGTAGCTGACTGTGTTCTCAGCGGTGCTTGGGTGTTGTATTTTTGCAGTAAAAGTTTTGAGACTACTTAAAGGTAAATTCAAGTCTCTGGCCAAGAAATTTGGGATTACGTTAGCTCCACTTGCAATGCAGTATTTAATCATTTAACTTCTAATGAATCCTTAGATGTTGCATAGGTGCTGGGACAATTTAGGAAGTAACATGCTTCATTTCATTTGATTGCATGTAATGCTTTGTTGCTTAAAGGAAAAAAAAAAAGCATGGGTTTTGTTTTTTTTTTAATTTCCGATTCTGATCTTCTTTAAATCATTTTCTTAAATTCGCTTGGCATCATTTGAGTTTTGCACTGCTATTAATTTCTCATTGCACGTCTGCAATCTTCCATAAAGCCTGAAAAACCATCTGCTTCTGTCTATGGGCCACACACGTTTTTATGCTTGTGCTTTTTCAGGGTGGCGTTCTGGGCTCTGAGCTTGATTTCTGACTTTGCCCCCCTCCTTCTTTCTTCAGCGTATCTACACAGAACTTAAGGAGGGCAATGCTGAAGTTTGGTTTCTCTCCCATAGAGATTTGGCTACTGGTTGTGCGTGAAGCACGGGAGGCAGGCAAAAACATGAGGTTACATCGTGAGAAGGGTGGTTGCGGTGCAGAGGTGAACCTCAGTCATCTATAAAAGCCTTCAGTGTAGCGATTAAAAAATCAGATCACATGCTGATTGACTTGGGGCATATGCAGGAAATTGCTGAAATTACTTGCTGACAGATCACAAAGACAGTGATTAGGAGGGGGTTTCCTGTGGTGCTTCTACCATACCTTTTGCTAGAAGAGAAAAATTCGGGGCAAGGGAGAGGAGAGACAAAGCAGCGCTTCTGAGTGGAGGCAGGGTTGAGAGTTCAGGTCATGGTCCATGCTATGAATGCTCCAGTGATCCACAGGCCAATGATGTGCTTTTTAGCTCAGGATTAACTAGGTGGGTGACCTAGGAGCCAGCGTGCTGAAGTGTTGAGCAGCTTCTTCTGGTTGTGGGAGGGCAGTCAGGAAGGAGACCGTGTCCCAAGGCAGAGCTAGCCAGCAATCGAGCACTCCGAGCTGAGGAAGGTGACTTGTGCGGAGTGGGGCAGCCTGCAGCAATAGCACCGTTACCAGACAACGTGCCCTTTGTTGGTTTTAATGTTCCTGACCATGAGGTGGGCGGCTGGTACTGTGCCTCGGACCCTGCAGGGCGCAGGCAGCGTCACGGGAGTGGGGACTGACTGCAGAAGTGGCCACACAGTGTTTGGCAGCCTCTTGCAGTGGGCACTGATACCTGGGTGGCTTTTCCATAGCACAGGGTATCACTTGGGTACAGGTCACGGAGAAAAACAGGCTCTGTAGAGTCCGTGGCCAGCTTGTGCAGATTAAAGCAGCAGTTGCTTTGAGTGAGCTGGGCTATTTGGGAGCTGGAAATGCTGTGATCTTCTCTTCTGTGGCCTACACTGAAGTTAGGAGTTAACCTGTTGGTTTCCCTTCTCATCTGTTTATCAGTGACCCGTGTTTGAATGCCAAGGGCTTAGATGTCTGTCCGTTTCTTTTGCTTTTTGTCACTTTTTTTTCCTTATTGGAGAGTTGTTTTTCCAAGCAGCAGTTCTGCTTCAGGTATTTGAGGTGTTCCCAAATCCCATCAAGCCGAACTTCAGCAGATTCCAGGAGCCTCAGGATCCCCGTTGCCTGCAGCTGTATGGCCCTGCCTACACCTCTTGCCTGTCTGCTTTCTGACGGCTTTCATGCTTTTGTGGTATTATTCTGTCAGTCCAAATCTTCTTTTCAACCCCATCTCTGTGCAATGATTTTTCATTTTGTCCGAGTTGTTTTCTTTTTCCCCATGCTTTTATATCACAAAGCCAACTACCTCATTCAACTAGAGTTATACTCGAGCTGTGCTGTTTTCTGTGTCATGTCAGCACGGGATGGAGAATGTTGTTCTGGACTGTTAACTGTTGCGCTGTGGGTCTAAACATCTTTTTCTTTACTGTAGTTGCTAAACAAACCGGAAAACTGCTGCGGACTTAAGGAAAGTCAAATACTTTCTCTGCTTAGCGACATTGGTACGTAGTCTAATGCCTTTTTTGTGTTTTGTTTTTGCGGGGTTTTTTTATTAGGTGTAAGGGCATTTTGCTTTTTCAGTTGACCCAGAAAAGGGGACTAACGAGAACAGGGTGTTAAAACAACTCAGATGTGTATTTCAGAGGAAGTCCTTGGTATCCCTGTTGATCACAGAGACAAGGAGTTCACACTAATGATGTGTCTTTAGAATGAGATTGGAAAAGCTGTGTAGTGGTCAGTTGTAGGTAACTATGATCTTAATGTTTTGCTTTCTTAAGGTCATGGTTTTCTGTTCAAATTCCATTTCTATTCGTGGCTCTGGAGAGGCCAAACTGCACGTCACTTGAAGGAACGTAACTTTTACAAGCCAAAAAACAAAAACCAACGTGAGAAGTGCCGTAGTTGCCCTGTGGCTTCTCTGTGTACGTTTTGCTTAGTTGGAGGGACATTTTGTTTGTTCAGGGTGACAGTACAGAGGAGACGATAAACTGGAGTGGAGCTTTAGAGCAAGGTAGGTAAGAGCATAGCAGAAGAGGAAGCCAACCATGCCATGGCTAGTCCAACAATCTTCTGTCTAATGCTCTCAACTGAGGGTTAATTAGGTAGGCGATCCCAAAATAAGTGCACTTAAATGTTGAGAAGCTTCTCATTTTGGAAGAGCAGCTCTGTTGGTCTGCATTAGAGGTGTGGCTAGCACAACGATGGAGATCACTGTCCCTTTACTCAGCACTGGGGAGGCTACATCTGGCCCCAAGTTGTACACATCTGGCAAGGCCCTGCAAAGGCTACCCAGGGCCTGTAGCATCTGACCCACCAGGAGATGGGCTTGTTGGGTCTGGCCACAGGGAGGCTGAGGAGGGTCTGAGAGCAGCCTGTGGCTACAGAAAGGGCATTTGCAAAGGTGATGGATAGGACCAAACTGTATTTGGTGAGCAGCGTAACGAGGGGCACCAGCCCTGTGTTGCGCCACAGGAGGTTGAAGCGCGAGGTTGGAGAAGAAACCTTTCTTACCAGCACTGCTGCTGTGCTGTGGACAGCCCTAGAGAGGGTCCCAGGGCAGCCTGCAGGGAGGCAGGGTGATGACAAAATGAGAATTAGCCAGACATCAACTTGATCTGCATTACAGGAGGTGTCTGATATCATGTGGATTTCAGCCTATGCAGTTTGGAAAGGGAGCAGGCAGCAAATCCATACAGGATGGGAGTAGCCCAAGGTGGCAGCACTGCTCATAGGGAACAATTTATTTTGTTACCTTTGGGTGCCTGCTGTAAAGCCATTTCGCAGGCTGTAGTAATTCCTGGAAATCATTCTGTGACACAAACTTGATAGTCTCTGGAAGTGTTCCATCAAATAGTCATTTTAAAACTGTTGAGCTTTAGCTTGCTTGATGCCAAATTCTTCACCACTGAGAATACTGTAAGAAAATAGAAGATGTGAGACTTGGGGAGTACAAGTCGTCTGATTGAGGGTGATGCCTACAGCATGTTTCTCTAGCAAGTAGGCTTTCCAGGAGAGCTCCTCAGTAGAGCTCACTGGATTTTTAGTTTTCTTGCAGATAACCCGTCTCTGTAGGAATGGAGCTGGTTTTGGCCTGAGAAAGCATTTTGGATATATTGGCCTGGGCTTCTGTCCTTTCAGTGTTCAAATGGCTTGCAGCTGAGGTCCTGAAATCAAGTGCAACTCAGTGTTCCTTCATCCTTGTTCCCCTTCCACCTGCAGAATGGAGTCTGTTGTCTTCATAATAAGTTGAATGTCTTTGGCAAAGATTAAAAAATGCAGTGGAGAAGAAATGCGAGTGAGAAGCTGTCAAATGTATAAATGATTGGTAAATCGGTGAAGGTTGGGGACTTTTCTCCCTGATGGGAGCAAGTGTTTGAACTGTGGGCAAGGCATGTTGGTTGAGTATTTCTCTTAAAATAATCCTGTAAAGAATTTACAGTCACAGCTGGTTCGAAGTAGGCTTTACACAATGTGCAGTCAGAATATCATTTGCATAGGAAAATTTAAAATACTTTGTGATGGAGATGAGAAAATGTAATACCTGCCTTGAGCTTTTCATGGGACCTTTTCTTTTATTTCCACTTGCACATCTCCAAGATTTAAAAGTCATGACTTCAAAAAAAAAAAACCAAAACAAAAACCCCTCAAATTTTGAAAATTGTCTTTTGCTGTTTTGTCTGTGGCTGTGTCCTGTGGAAAATGCTTGCTTGATTATCTTTTACGTAGCAGCAGTGTTATTATTTGGGTGGACCAGTAGCGAAATTTCCACTTCCTGCAGGCAGGATTTCTTTTGTTTCTTTTTTGTTAGTGGCTCCACAGTCTCCTCAAGGCAGTTCAAGTGTGGACTGTTGCCACAAGGCAAAGCCCTCTTCTTTGCCTTTTGTATTGAAATTTGGATAATGGGGGGTGTTGGGGGACAAGAAGCTCAGCACAACCCAGCAATGTGCGCTCACAGCCCAGAAAGCCAGCCGTGTCCTGGGCTGCATCCCCAGCAGCGTGACCAGCAGGTCGAGGGAGGGGATTCTGCCCCTCTGCTCCGCTCTGGTGAGACCCTCCTGCAGTGCTGCGTCCAGCTTGGGGGTCCCCAGGACAAGAAGGACATGGAGCTGTTGGAGCGAGTCCAGAGGAGGTCATGGAGATGATCCGAGGGCTGGAGCACCTCTGCTATGGAGACAGGCTGAGAGAGTTGGGCTTGTTCAGCCTGGAGAAGAGAAGGCTGCGGGGAGACCTTAGAGCCCCTTCCAGTCCCTGCAGGGGCTCCAGGAAAGCTGGAGAGGGGCTGGTGACAAGGGCAGGGAGTGACAGGCCAAGGGGAATGGGCCGCA